GTTTTTTGTTAAACATTTTAATCAAAGAAATGTTCACCTGTCATTTAACAGTTCAGTTTCATCACATATTAAGCATGAATGTAGGATTTGTATGAAACAACTCATCCAAAAACTAACAGTGTGATTAGTTTTATTGAAATTTATTTTGTGATTTGGTAGACAGCTTTGCTCCTTTCGGTGATGCCTGCTTTAAAACGGGATGACTGTATCACTTTGAGCTGTTATGAAAACCCCACTTGTGTTATTAGGTTTCAGAGGTGTAAAGTAATTGTTCAGGAAAAAAACAATGTAAGTGACATTTTGAACCTTAGCTTCAGTGACAGGATGAAGTACACATTTGAAAAGAATATAATATTTGCAGTAAAGTGTAATTCCTGTACTACTATTATGTTTGTTGCTGTGAAATCTTGCCACATACATGTAGGCGTGGGTCACAGTAGCAAGAACTCGTGCCTGTGTTCTGTATTGTTAATGGGGCCATGCCCCACGTATATTATTAAGAACTTGAATTCGACATACGAATTCGTATACTTGTACATCCACTTTCTTCTTACCCAGCAGGACCCACATTCATGTGTGTCGTAAAATACTTCTCTAGGCCTCAGACAGTGTCAGATTTATGTATAACTGAAGCATCCATTTCTAAGGAATAATTTTGCTAACATTCCCCCAGAAGGTTTCAAATCTTGAAATATTTATAATTCTTTCCAAGGAGCCTTTGTTATTCCACAGAATTTCAAAATCAAGCACATATCTAAGATACATCAGAAATTCCTTGCTTACCTTATTCACCCATTCATAAAAATTAACACCCTCTTAGCTTGGCTATTTCACCAAGATATTGGTATTCAAAATATGTAAGTAAAATAATGGTGGTGGTGGTGGTGTTATATATGCGTGTTTCACTTTTTCCAGTTTAAAGCAGTTTTGTATCATACAGCATGAATGAGGGATTGACACGCATTTTCAACAGCTGGTCTTCTTTCTCAGGGCCACTATTCATTTTGCTGTATATGAAGTGAGGCCATTTGACTTGTGAAAGGGATGAGATGGACTGAGCTTGAGGCATGTTTCCTATCTTCTGTTACCTCATTGAACAAGCATGTTTGAAATTTTGGTGTGATGCTTCTGAACGACAAGAGGTTTGAAGATTACAGCTGTTCAGTATGAAATTATGCAGGAGATCGAAAAGCGACTTTTTTTATCTATCTATAGGTCAGTCTGCTGATGGAGTTACTATTTGTCATTTGGTCACCCTTGTCCACATTGTATCACTCTCATAGTCTTGTTCTGTCTCGGGCTTACGTGTTTTGCTTCTCATCACAGAAATAACCTGTGTCATAGGGCAGTCCATATTTATTAAATTGACAACCTCATATTGCTGAAAATGGAACCACCCTCCTGTCTTTGGCCAGATAAACTCTCATGTTGCATGCACAGCTACTCGAGTGGCACAGTTTGTGTTGCTGTTACTCCACAAGAAACTGGGATACAATGAAGAGAGAGAGAGACAGCCTTTACTACTGAAGCACAGTCAACTTGAAAGTATATGTTGACTGCTTCCTGGAACAGATTTCCTGTAGAAGGTAACCACAAGAAAAAGGAATATATCAGTTCTGAAAAGTAGTGTATGAAATCTGAGGTCATCTGTTATCAGCATTCCAACATGAGTCCTGACACTCCTTGGGCATTGTAACATTGTTGAATCACAGGAAGGTTGTCTTTATTGAGGAATACAAATTGGTGGTACTGTAAAGCAGTGCAGCCATTTTGTAGCAGCTATCATTCAGATTGTGGTCTTCTGGTTTGTGACACCATACAGATCTGTAAGTGGGTACTGACATTTCAGAGGATATTGCTGGCACCATTTTCAGGATTAAAATGGATATGTTGAATTGGCTGAGGCCTGATTTCTCACTTCATATTTCCTGTCAGAATTGGCTCTAAAAAAGTCCAGCTCTTCCTAATACTCAGTATTTGAGTTTCCCTTCTGTGAGGCAAACATATAAGAACCCTAAAAATTCCATTTTTCCTCTTGAAAATGTGTGCCTGATACGGGCCCAGAACAGGCTTCATTTTCTTCCCCCCCCCCCCATCCTCCTCACAGTCTTCTTATATAACGCAGCGATTTCCTCACACCACACAATTCAATCCACCTGCAAGATTACACTGTATCAATTTGGAAGACCACAGTGTGAATTATCCTTGTACCTACTTTAGAATGCTTGTAAGCAAGAAATCTGCATCGAAAGGATGAGCACATTCCAAACATCTAAGCTACGATGTCATTTAATTTTTTATAATAAATTTATGATTTTATGTGACTAGTATTGCCACTGTTCGCAAATGTCAAGTAACCTTGACTTCCAGAATAGAATGATAAGCTCAGAACAAAGGTCATTTATTCTCTGTATCTGTGTGTTGTGTTTGCTTTTTTGATGCATTGTTTTGCTAAAGCTTGTGTAGAGAAGGAGACAGTCCCAAGGAACACATTGTGTTCATTGATTTGATCGCATTTCTTTTAAAAGTAGGGCAGCATGGTAGGAGATAAAAGTTTGGTGTGTGTGGGAGATTTCAAATGTCAAGCAGCAAGCATTCTGCATAAGAATGCATTGGATTACTACTGCAGTGGAGCTGGAGAGGAGTTCACACTGGGTCTCAACACGGATGCATTTCGAAGGCAAGCCCCATGTCCATAAATCCCTTTCACTACTGTAAGAAGAGTAGATTTCTGAGATTATGGCACAGGCTGATGTACAAAGTTGATCAGTGTCCTCAAAATAAGGGTGAAGTTAGAATTACATATGTTGAGGCACATTTTATAGAAGACAGATACTTTTGCATGTAACCAAATGTTGTATAGCATATCTGACTTCGTATTTAAGGTGTACATCCTTTGATTGCTATTTTGAAAGGTTTTTTCCTTCCTCAGTATGTCGTGAAAAATTCCTGGCTAACGTCTTAAAGTATGCCCCAGTTGACATTTATTTATCATAACTTGCTTTTGTAACAATACTTTGCCTTTCACATAAGCATGCTGTTTCATAAAATAGGCCTCAAACTGTCATGGGGACTGTATCTTCAACAGCCTGTTGTTTCTTTGCACATTTTACTTCTTTCATCAAGTTGGTGTGATAACTTATAACTCTCTAAAGTACATATTTGTACATGAATGATGCAAGGTGGTGCCTTTGTGTACTTTGTAGGCAATGTATACAGTGTTAAAGGGCTTTACTCTGTAATGTTTTCATACAGTGTGGGTTGTAAAGCATTGATATACAAAATGGTGAAAAGTTTAATGCATCAGGTTCAGTAATCATGTCTTATCATACTGGAGCACAAGTACATGGAGGAGCCCCACACACATCCTAGGGTATTTAAAGCAGACAAACATAGCTGGAGTTGCTGAGCAAGGTATATTATTGTGGGATTTGTTCTCATGACAGTAACTATGAAGAGTATTGTCCTCCAGGATGTGCCATGTGACACCTTATAGTCTGGTAGAAGTTCAATCTTCTACAAAACTACCAAGCATCACATCCCGGAAGGTAGTACTTTTGTTCTGTATGAAAAGGGTTAAGTGGCCATTTTGGTGGTCACCTGAAGAGGCTGGAAAACTTGAGGCAGTTCAGAATTTGGTGCAGGTAGGTGTCAGATCTGTGAAAGTAGCATTCTAATTCACACATTTGCTTGTTATAATGATTCTGCAATAATCACCTGTCATATTTGTAATACATATTGGTCCCCCTGCAGCAGGTCATGTTTTCCTGTCAAACAGGAGACTGCAGAAGTAAAGGTTGAATTCTTATTAAATGAGCAATGGGGTGTTTGGGGGGTGATGTGTTCCTGACACTGACAGATTGAGGATCCGTCCACGGTTTTTGCGTGATGTATCTTGTCGGGACCAGTCGATCACAGTGCTGGGGACAAAGGTGGCAATGCCGATAGGAATCGCTCCAACTGCAATGCAGCAGATGGCACATCCTGATGGAGAATGTGGCAACGCAAGAGGTCAGTGTTGTCAGGATTTCGCTTCTCCAGCAGACTGTGTTCTAGAATATCCATCGAAAGTAAGAATAATCATAATATTACATATACAGTCAATTGTGTGGATGTTTTTTCCTTTCAGAATGTATTTATTAATGTTTTAAAGAAGAGGCATGGTCACTAAAACATAGTGCTTACTGCTTTGGCTTGAGCTCTCAACTGCATATGATTAAAACACAAACATTTGTGTACATATTTCACCATGAGTAGTGGTACTGTAGTATTAACCCCCCTTCCCTAATTTGGGGGGTTCTGCCATGGTTCACTGTAGAGATGGCAGTTGGTGAATCTGGGCTGTAATATATAGGACATACAGTATAGACCAGTCTGTGAATGACCTCATGTAGCTGAATCATTTAAAGGCATCACTGACATGTTGAGTGACCAGGCACTGCATGACTTCATTCCAGTAATCCCTACCTGCTGAAGAAATCATATACAGCGTGTTGCACCTGACCAGACACTGACTGCCTAGTTCAGGTGACAGTATGAATATTGCACAAACGTAAGTTCTGCAGACCAAAGAATATTGTCGCTGTTACCTTATCAGCAGATGTTCTGGAGTTCCAAGGGTTTTCCTGTCATTCTGACTGCATGCCTTACTTATTCGATTTCACGGTGGTGACACCAAATTTCATCACTGGCCACCCAGGAGGCAGAACTCTGCCCAACCTTGATTCTTGCTGGTTGCCCTTGGACCCAGTATATGAAGAGGCTCTTACGGGCTTCTCCACAGAAATAGTGTGTTATTGGGATGATTTTAAGAAGGTGAAACAGCTTAGGGCAATGTGTATGAGTGACAGACACTGAACAGTGTTTTGTTAAACTCAGTTGAAATGTCAGGTCTGATCAACATAAATTTTAATTTCATCCTTCAGCATTTCAAACATGGTGGTCATGCAGACCTGTAATGTGGGGAAAACAATACCAAAGAAGGATTATGAAGGTTAATGGATTAGCAAAGAGTTCTCCTTCAGGTGGTAATTAGGCTGTCCATTGTGATTAAAAATATGTTCCTTTAAGTAAAATACAGAATAAAGTACACAGTATGTCATGGTGGGTAACACTCCTTTGTGTTCAAGAAGCCCAGGGTTCAAATCTTGGCATGAATTCTGAATTGTGCTGACTGAGGTTCTTAAATTCTTGTTTTTTTTTTTTCTGGTGTAGGCAGCCGGATTTTAATTGGGTGATGTTTGTATTAAGGAATTGTGACACTAGCCCAGATGGACTGCAGATATGTGCCATCACAGTAATGCAGTGCGTGGCCACTAATGATTACACAAACTTGTACAGGTCCTTCCCAGTTTGTTCATAATCATATATGATGCTATTCACTTTAACTGATGGTACAGGTTTCCAAAATAAAACAAAAGATGTATACCACTGTTTACAGTTTAATTGATGTGGACACTGAATATTACAGTTTCTGATTCTGAGCTTTCGTTGGGCTTTCCTGTGAGTGTGATAATATAATTCAAAGGATCAACATTGTTAATACAAAGTCCATCCTGGCTCAGCTGAGTCTATTCATATCCCATCAATAATCTTCCATGAGAATTATTTTAATGTTATCTACTAATCTCTTTGGGTTCAATCTTCTAAGAAGTTTTGCCATCAGAATTCTGCATGGAATGCCATTTATTGGGGTAAAAATACCTTAGCAGGTCTTGGAAAATTGAACAAATTTGTGTAAATGTAACAAAGTAAGTAAAAAAAGTAAAGCTATCCCTGTACCAGGCCGTGAAGGCCCATAGGGTTGTGAGATGTTGAGGGTCCCACACTATCTAGACAATCGGCTCCAAGATGGCGGTAAGGTTGTGAGCCTTACACGCTGGCCGCGCTTTACTCCCCAGGAAAATTATTAAATTTATTCCTGGTACTCATTTCTGTTAGAGGTTGAGTAAACCCCAGGGCCTAGTGTGGCTGGAAGGATTAGGTCAACTGAAAAAATCCAATGACCTCATCGGGACTTGAACATGCGACCTTCCAGCTTGTAGCATAGCCTCTCAACCAACTACGCTACGGCGTGCCCCAATAAAGTAAGTAAAGTGAAAGAAAAGGTATCCCTGTAACAGGCCATGGATGCCCATAGGGTTGTGAGATGTTGAGGTTCCCACATTTTCTAGAGAATCAGCTAATAGATGGCAGTAAGTTTGTCAGCCTTATGCACCGGTTGCCCTTTACCCCCAGGAATCTGGTACTCATTTCTGTTAGAGGCTGAGTCGGCCCCAGGACCATAGTGCGGCTGGAAGGATTAGGTCAATTGAAAAATCCAGTGACCTCATTGTAATTGAACAAGTGACCTGGCTTGTAGCATAGTGCCTCAACCAACTACGCTACCGCATGCTCCCTGTGTAAATATAATATCAATGGTTAATTTTTATGTTTTGACAGCTGCTGGTGCAGTGGGTTGCATCTTCATCTTGAGCACATTGTCCACAAGCAGCATAGAGGAAGTGGGATCAGCTGCACCAAACACCATCAAGTGGTTCCAACTGTATGTCTACAAGGACAGGTACTATGTTCGCACCTTTGCCAGTGGTGAATGCTTCTGTCTGTCCAGCAGTGAACTGTCAGACCACTAAACCTGCAGGAATGTGAAACAAAAATATTTTTTCCCATTTGATTGAAACTCTTAATATTTTGCTTGGAATCAGCTCTATGTGTTGTGTACCTTATACATCACAGCATAATGTATTCACCAGGCAAGGAAAGAGTAGATTCACTGCTCCACTATAGCCCCAAAATGATGCTTTTGCAATTGTATTGACTTGAAGAAGAGAGAAAGAATGTAGGTCTCAGAACAGCCAGCCTGTGTGAGTGCATTGTCACATGACCCCACTTCCAGATCAGAATTTTACACTGATCATCATGCACCCATCTGGTGTATTTTTTCCAGGTTCCAACATTCCTTCTTGAGGTCTTTGTTGTTTTTGTAATTCTCTACCAGAAAATGCTGACATAATACTCTCAAATAGTCCATAAGGACATGCTTCTATGCTTTTTGACTTCATGATAATTCTGTAGTTTCAAATTATGACAATTTATGTAGCTGATAAAAATACTGATAAACAACCATAGATTCTCACTTAATGGATTTCTATTAAGAATTATTCAGAAATAATTTACCTGTTGTTTTGTATAATTGTGAAACAGTTTTAAGGAAGGAAGTAAATTACAAATAGCTGAAAATGAATTGTTGAGATATTTGGACCTAAGAAATATGAAGTTGTGGTTATGACTGGACAGATAGCTGAGCAAGAAACAAGAAAAGCAACCGGACTTTGGCAGGAGAATTCTTTCATAAATTACACATGTGGTAGACCAAAAAATTGGCATTAAAGGGAAATGTGATGATGTTAACTGGTCTGACTTTGATATTAGTGTGGTGTTTGACAACCACCAGTCACGCTATTTCCATAATTTTGATGATGTGGTTCAAGCTGCGTGTGGTTCCAGATATGATTTTTTTATCAGCTGATGAATTCTGAAAGGTGGTTTGCAGGATTAAGAATGAACTACTGAGAGCAAGGGAGGATTATTTTAACTTATGTAAATAATCTTACTGCAAGTTTGTTGTTTTCTTTGTTGTTGTCATGTCTTTAAATTAGCAGTACACAGTTCTTTGTCTTTTAGTGACACATCAACCAAAATAGTCCACTATGCAGTCTTACTCAGTGTTTGTTTCTATTGACACACACATAACTGAATAGTTAGCATTCATACTTCATACTCAAGTTTCAGCTATTGGACAAGAGGCCAGATACCCTGAATGAAATTTTTACACTTTCTCTCAGTCCTGCCAGGCAAACAGTACCCTTAACACTCTAATGCATATAGTTTGGAGAGAATATTATTCCTTTCTCTGCTCAGAGCAACGTACTTACAAACTCTGCCCTCTTTGTACTTTGATAATATTGGTGAAATTAGACTTTCCTATCATGTCCTAATACTATGTGAAATCATTAGTGGTGTCTTAACCTTAGAAATTAGAAAGTAGCATGAAAATATTTGAGAAGAATATTAAATATTTCAACTAATTACTTGTTTTATAAACTAGAAATTCAGTAAAGAAAGTCGTCTTCTGGGTTTAGGCGCCATGTATTCTCTGTTTTGGCTGACGTTTCGGAGGAACGTATCACCTCCATCTTCAGAGCAGGTGATTGGCTTAGAATGCAGAGAGCAGTAGCCAAAACGAAGAATACGCGGCGCCTAAACCCAATGGAGGTGATACGTTCCTCCGAAACGTCGGCCAAAACGAAGAATACACGGCGCCTAAACCCAGAAGACAACTTTCTTCATAGTCATCGCCGTGAAAACCTCAAAACTTACATAGAAATTCAGTACATTATTGTTTAATATGTGAAATGGTGACACATTTTGCTGTGCACAGGGATGTGACACGCAAACTTGTGAAGCGTGCAGAACAAGCAGGTTTCAGAGCTCTGGTTCTGACGGTTGATGCTCCAATGTTTGGAATCCGCAATGCAGATGTCAGGAACAAGTTCAAACTTCCACCACATCTCAGGTGACAAAAGAAAAATAATAAAATACTTCATTTTACATCTAGTTTGTTCACTAAACACAATTTTAATGTGATGGCATAATCACAAGGGAAGGTATAATGGAGCTCAGAAATGAGCATGCATGTGTTCCCACTTACGAGCATGATGTTGCAGCAAATAGTGCTATAACATCTCAGTTCAAGCACACTGTAGCACTGGGCTGGACGTGACACTGTCGGAAATCTGAAGTAGCTGATTTTTAGTGAGTTGGCCATGATGTGGGAGAATAAAGCCAAGCCATGCCACACCAAGTTTTGATTGCACTCAAATAGTAGGTACTTTAACATTTATCAGTACCTGTCTCAATAACAGCAACCACTTAGCTCTTGCTGTTGTTCACTTCTGTTCCATTGCATGCCAGTGCACTGTCATGTACTATCAGTGAACTGCTCATCTCATTCTATGCACTGTTTCTCTATACATGACAGCTACATGCCATTTCCAAACTCATGATCAGACTTAGGCTGTTGAACTTCAGAACCACAGTTTTACATCATTTATAGTTTCCAGAATGCTTGGGTTATAATGTGAACAGGCGATTCTTCACTTTTCTGGAAGGAAGGAGAACAAGAAAGGGGGATGGGAATTGTCAAAGTTTTGAGTGAGAGAGGTGTGTGCCTGCCAAGCACCACTGCCTCCGCCCTGCTACGCTTTCATTCCCATGACAGTATGGAGACAGTGACCAAAATCTACTATGTGTATATATCATCATGGCCGCCACTGTACAATGTCTTATGTTCAAGCTGTGTGAAGATGAAAGTGACCTACAAGTAGTGTCACATCTTGGGTCCTTCACACTATACTGTGCCTCAAGATTCAGAGAAATGTAAACCAGCATTAAATAGTGGCCATTTCTTGGCCCGAGACCAACTGTCAGCAAAGTCTGAGTTGTGCTAAATGGATCTGTTTTGTTTCCAGTCTGGCAAATTTTGAAGGCATCAAAGCAACTGGTGTAAAATCTGAATCTGGTTCTGGTATTAGTGAGTATGTTAACCAACTGTTCGACCCATCACTGACCTGGGATGATGTTATATGGCTGAAAAGGTAGTGTTCTTACAGTAATCTGCATACCTAAGGTTGTCTGTTAGTAATGTGATCAGAACATGAGCTAACCACTCTCTTCAATCTTCTTTGAAATTTAAGAATACTAGCTATACTTTTTTCCTGTACACCTTCAGGGTGTGGTGCTTAATTGAGCACAAGGCCATATTTACTGGTTAACTTGCTTTTGATTAAAGCACAGTGATACTTAATACTAATAATGACATGTAAGTTGTGTTTTGGGGCTGGTGTAACATGACAGGTGGAACAAGTAGCTGGCTGGGGTGGCACACTTCACATTCCCTCCGTTTTGGTAGTCATCTGAACATGTTATGCAACAATGTAAATGAAGCTGCTTTAAGAGTTAGGCTGCCCTTGACGGTTTTCATCACAGTGTCTGGAAATCTCATATTGTTAATCCCAACAAATTTTGAGGAAGCTAGACTGTTTTTAGCTGAGATAGGGTAGAATTTCTTGTTTCCTGGTGTGTCAATTAGGTTTGTGCCTAGCATGCCATTAATGCCCATTGACATTTCACCTGTTGCAAGTTGTAACTTTGTAAAGCCATTTCCATTCTGTATAATGCTTCCATATCTTTGCTTTCTCTCCCTGTATCACATCTTTTAAGCACCTCATTTGCTTCTTTCTAGCATCACACAGCTGCCTGTGATCCTGAAAGGCATTCTGACAGCAGATGATGCCACAATTGCAGCAGACCTGGGTGTAGCTGCCATCCTGGTGTCAAACCATGGTGCTCGGCAAGTAGATAGCACTCCAGCCTCAGTGAGTACAGATGTGGTGCAGTGGGGGAGGGGCTTTTACTTACATACCTCCATTTTGGCCATTCAAGACTATTTATGCTGAGCCCCCAACAGTATTCAGGATAGAAGAATATTTTTTAAAATACTTTTAATCTATATCATTAACTTCTGTTATTCTTTCTGGTTTGCTTCCCCCATGTGACTCAGCCACTGGAAGTTCTGTGAGCTCCATGGTGTACACCAGCTGTCTCTTCTGTTATATTTGCAAATAACTCCATGCAGCAGTCTTTCTTGAGAGAAAAATTAGTTGTAAATTCTGTCACTTAACACTGCTATTCTTTGGTGGGGAGTGTTCTTTTATTGTATATTTGGTTGCTCAGCTAGCTGAGAATGTGAACATGAAGGTTCATTACCATGTTGACAGAAGCTTGCCACTGGTCATTATCTTGAGTCAAATGAATCCAGTCCACAACCACCCATCCTACTTCTTTAAAATCAATTTTAATATTATCTCCTACATACATTTCTCTTCATTCCCATGTGTACTACATGTATGGCCCATCTTATCATCCAGTTTCTTATATTTAAGACTGAAGAGAAGAAGAAAACAGTTCTTGCTGTGGTTCCAGATTGAAGCCCTGCCGGAAGTTGTGAAAGCAGTAGATGGGCAGTGTGAAGTTTACTTGGATGGAGGAATAAGACAGGGTACAGATGTATTCAAAGCAATAGCACTGGGGGCAAAAATGGTGTTCATGGGACGTCCAGCTCTATGGGGTTTGGCCTGCAATGGAGAGGATGGAGTGAAGTCCATCCTCAATATCGTGAAGACTGAATTGGATACTGTTATGGCCCTTACTGGTATACAATGTCTTATTTCTGCTGCAGCCTGTGTGAATATATTGCTTCATTAACTTTTCATGCTTAATTTTTTTTTCGTTTCCAGGTTGTGCTACTATAAAAGATATAAAGAAGGAGATGGTTGTTCATGAGTCACACTACAGTCACCTGTAGGTGTGAACAGCACTGATCATCCACCTGCATCAGTGCTTCTCAGTTCCTGAGGTCATGGAACATATTTCCCTATATTGTAACCTTCTGAAGCATGAAATTCGTCAAAATAATATTAAAAAATTCAATTCCTTCCTCTCAGGGAACACTGCAGCTCCATTACACAGACCAGTCATTTAATCCTGTTCGAGGAAATAATCACTTTTTATTCTGAGAATCATACAAAAACCCATAAATGCACTCTGTTAACACAAGTGTGGTATATCCTGGTGAATCGAAGCACGCCTGTGGTCAGATGCAGACTGTCTGGCTTCATGTACCACTTGCTTCCAATCTACACCTACTCCACAGTCAGGATAACACAACTTTCTGTTGGAGAACTATGACATCTCAAAGTAGATCATTTTGGGGCCAAGTGTGGTATGAAATTTAGTATTCTGTGATTCTTTGAAGTGGAGAAGAAAGGTAGTCTTAAAGTAAGTAAAAGTAAAGCTATCCCTGTAACGGGCCGTGAAGGCCCATAGGGTTGTGAGACATCGAGGGCCCCCCACATTATCCAGACAATCGGCTCAAAGATGGCGGTAAGGTTGTCAGCCTTATGCGCCGGCTGCCCTTTACTCCCCAGGAAAATTATTTAATTAATTTTCTGGGAGTCTTACAGTTTTCTTTTGTAAAAAGCAGTTTTAAATTTAAACTAAATTAAATAGATTTGACGGTATGCACTTCCGTACCTCGGTTCTCATATAACATGAACTTCTTGTTTCTTTCATTGCTCTCTACAAAACATCTGACCCTATCGCTGTCATTCCAGATCAGTTTGGGACTTTGCCAGGTTATACACATATAGCTACCACTGTGTGTTAAAAGAGTTAAAGCAGATGTGTGAAATAATTCTGATTGGAAAACTACATGAACTGAAAAAGTTTGTGAGTGTATATACTTATGAGCAGAGTACTCCATCATCCAATTCCCTCAGTTGTCAGTCAGCTCACAGAAATTAATGGAAGGAATTCAATTGTGTTTCCCCATTACAATCCTTTTATTAGCCAGAAGCATATAAAGATGAGATTTGTGTACTGTCATAGGTTAAATGTGTTTTTACAAAAGAGGATTTGGACATGAATTATATGAAAAGCAAATTTTAGGAACCTTTTGAGTCCACTTCCTGATCTGTGAGATCTGAGGTCCTCACAACAGTAAACAGATTAAGGTTTTGGGGATGTGATGTCACATAGTTTTGGCAGACAGGTACCTAATGTACTAGACTATGCTCAATTGTGAATGTGTTTGTAAGAATTTAGCATACTGTGCATATATGAGCCTTATGCTCAGTTAAGCATTATTCCATGAAGATGCATGAAAATAAATTCACAAGCTGTAACTTCACTTAACCTACTGATGTTGACTTATGGAACAGTTCTGTACAGTGCTGGGATGGACCAAGCACTGGCTTACACAACTGTTCCACATTCTAAGTACATAATTTTGGCTTTTCCTCAGAGAGGACAGTTTGGTTTTTGGTTGTATTTACACTACCTCAGTAACTCACTTCTGCAATTAATAAAATCTTCTTGGGCTATCAGCCACATCATTTGGTTAAAATTGACTGACGATTCAGGACCATCTCTGATTCCAACATCAAGATCACATAAGATTTTTACGATGGGGTAGAGATCATAGAGATGGTCCATGGAACAATCATCATGTTTAAGCAACTGACATAGCCCAAGAAGATTTTACTAACTTTAGCTAACGTGAATGAAACTTTCAGAATTACACTTACACTGTGCTAATGTCCACCATGCATCTTAACAGAAGTGAAACTATTTTTCATCAGGTATTGATTTTTCCAGAAATAATTCCAGCTCCAGTAACTGAAAACCTCAATCCCAATTCTTTAATTTTATTTTGGGAGTCACAAGTCATGCTCAACTTGAACTGTGGGCATTCCCATTGTAACAGAAAGAAGTTGTATTGCTTTTCTGTACTCAAAGGAAATTATTAAGCAGACTTATAAAACGAAGTAATATAGGTACCACATGGTATATCTCCCACCATTCCCAAGAGTTATTAGCTGTGTTCTTGCTCCCTCTACACGCATTCTCAATTCATAACTGGTGTTGCTGGCGGCATGGTTTCCACTGCAGTAATGTTGGAGAGTAGGCAGTGCGCTTATACTCCCACCACCCATGTTCATTCTTTTCTGGACTGGAGTATAGCCTTGACCCCTTCATCCCCTCCTCCCTTATTTTCCAAGCATTGACAGCCCCTCCAGACCAGATCTTTCCAGCACGTACACCTGAGTAACCACTGATCATTTTGTTACTGTCTCAGTATTGCCTAGAAATAAGATTTATTGCCTCTTTAACTCATATTCTTTGAACAGGCACTAAAATGCTGACTTTCAAAGAACATAACAACATTACTTGATGTTGACAAACGAATTACAAACTAGAAATAAGGTCTATATTTGGGATTGGCCCAGTGCACATGTTCAGCAAACATAAGTACATCTGACTTCTGGGAGATGTTTACAGACACCTGGTCCTCCAGGTTGGGGGGTTGGACACAAGGCTGACAACCTTGTTCTGTAAAAAGAATTAATGTTGCAAAATCCAAAGCAGTGAAAGCTGGATCACATCTGGTAGAATCTTCTAAGGAAGAAGGCTCTGGCTGTTTTGCCAGCGATGATGAAGATAATATTTGACTTACTCTTCATCACCAGATGTTGGATTCTTATTAATATATGTATATGATTACTTTAGCATATTGTCATTTGTATATGGGTTAATGTGACTAATAATTGTGGATTCTAGATTGGGCGATTGGATTCATTTGATACCACTATCACAATTACACTCAATTATAACAGTTCACACATTAACTCCTTCTGTGTAGCTCTGCTTAGTTCTGCTATTTTATATTTGCCTGGCATACTGAGTAGGGATCATCATCTCCAAGGGTTCCTACTTCTTGTATCTGATCTAACTGCCCGTTTCTGTATGTGTTCCTTGGATGATGTCTGTTTAGAAGTCGTTACCATGGATATGTCAATAGTTCCATCAAAACCCTGAGTAAGGGCGCATTTCATGTTACCACAGGAACATGCTCTGCGAAGCCCCACCCAGCAGATGGGCAGGTTGCAGCTTTCAGGCTGTGTCTGGGGCATATACCTATATTATGGCACTCGGTGTAACCTGCTGCTTGCTGCCTTGGCTTACTTTTCAACCCTGTAGATGAGGCAGTTATGTTCCTCCAAATGTCAGTAAACTTCTGCCACACAGCACCACATCTCTGAAGATGGCGCTCTTTACTTACTGATGGTTTGAACACCAGTGACATTGTGGGAATCTGGAATGCTACGACAGTGAAACACATTTCAGAACTTCCAGTCAGTGAGGAAGCTTCAGTCAAGCACGTGGCTTGGCCCTATGTGGAGCCTTGAGTGACACTATAAAAACTGAAGTTGGAGTCAAGACTGTCTCTACAAAATATGTACAAACGCTTTGTGACACTCTGAAAAAGAAAAACAGGCTATGAGGCTGTCAGTGCTGTGGGGAGACATCTGTACTGGGGGGGGGGAAGCTTTAAGAGCTTCTAGAAAAGGGACTGCAGAATCTTGCAGCTCTGTTCACGTATTGTCCTGTCATGTCTGTGAATGGGAGTCGATGGATACTGGAGACTCTTCCCCCAGGGGTAAAACAGCAGGGGCATGTAACTGAACACTCACCTCTATTCAGTGCTGAGGTCAAGAAAAGTGGAGCTATACCTCCACTCCCCCATATGTCTTCATGGTAGAGTGCTTACCTAATTAAGCACAAGGGCACCTTTAGCTTTTACCTTATCTGTGGATGCTGAAAGGTGCTTCAGCACACAAAACTTATGTTCACTCAGATACACCACACAGTTATTTCAGAAGAGAAACACCCTGAGCGAACCTGCTCTATACAAACTTCTGACATTCCAGGTACTGAATCTCATGTCCATTTTCTTTAGCCTAGGTCGTTTTTCCAGAGGATCTGTCCAGGTCCAAGGCTTTGTGTTCATTTTCATAACTGGATTATTTTTTACGGTGAGTTGTTAGCCTCATGCCCAACCCCCAAGCTGGAGGACCACCCCTTGTTGGCTGTCCACTACTGCTTATTCAATATATTCGCAGCTTCCCTCCATACCTGGAGAGTGTCTCCTCCATCCGCAACCTGAGGACATGCCATGCCGTGATGACAAGGAACCCACCTAACATGGTGCCATAATCTTCTACACAGATTATAGTATGATGGGATTGCTTGACAGTACTTCAGTCATTAGTAATAACATATATTTTACTCATTAAATGTAATTTTTACTTTGACTGATGACTACATTGTAAATGATTGAATGAGCTGAATTGCAAATACAATGCTGACACTTTGAACAAATGCTACAACACATTGTTAACTGTCAGCTATAAATATACATTACACTGTTGTATATCACAACTCTCAGGTACAGAACAGCCCTACACTGCAGACATTCAGGTTATAGAAAATATAGAACAAGACCATAAATTCACCCCAATGGAAATCTGGGATATTGTTTTAGTCACAAAATGTAGAACAAGAGTAATCAAATGTCACTGTAAAGTGACAACCAATCCCACTTCATGTTCAGGAGATAAGTTAAAATTTCATCCCAGAGACAAAATGTCCAGAGTTTTTTTTTTGTGATTTTCCACAGTTCCTCCAGGAAAGTTTTTCAAGTTAACCCATGACTATGTCCTTCCATATCCTTTCCAATTCATTATTCACAGATCAGCTGAAGCTGTGTAGTTTCAGTTACTGAAAGCACTGTTAAGCTGATGAGAGACAGAATTTTTGTCAAGGAAATTACTCTGAAGGCACTTATACTGCATATTAAAATATGCCGGTGACATGGGGGCATGGCAGTATTGGCATTGGCACTGCCGTTCGCACATTATTTTGGACTATCTAACATGTCACCCTTGTTTAAGATGTCTGGAACAAGGCCATCAAGTTCAACTGCTGATGTATAAAAACAGGCTTTTATTACAATTACACACAGAAGGAATTTCCATACGAACACATCTCCACTTGGGATTTTGGACTTTATCCATCGTCCTGGTTTTTAAGATAACAAATAAAAACACGACGTTTCGGAAAATGGATCTGTTTCCGTCCTCAGGTGAAGGAAAACACCTATTCAGTTGGGTCCCTTAGAAAGAGCTAGCCTCACCTGAGGACGGAAACAGATCCAGTTTCCGAAACGTCGTGTTTTTATTTGTTATCTTAAAAACCAGGACGATGGATAAAGTCCAAAATCCCAACATATCAGTGTGTTATACACCATCGTCAGAATCCTATAGTAACTACATCTCCACTTACAACATGGACGTCAATGGAGAAAATATGGTTCATGCTACAGAATTTCACAATATGGAAACGTTTTCTGGAACATGTCCCTTCTGTAATGAGAGGTCATGCTGTATTTGGCCACAGCAAATGAAAACAAAATTGTATTAACATATCACTAATGCACAATTCAGAATCCTCAAAAAGTTGTAATAAATTTTCTGCCAAAATCTTTAGCATTAAGATATGAAATAAATGCCAAACCATAAATCATGATTTCCCATTTTGTGTGTTACTGAGCATTGCAATTTTTCTTTTATAGTACTCAAGCTTGGCTTCTTCTACTTTCAGTTCTAACTCATACTTCTTTGCTCTCATTTCCAAGTCCATATTAATTAAACTGATTTCTTTATTCAATAATATTCGTCGTAACTTTGCTATATTAGCATTCTTTCTTCTCAGTTTATGATGGCTTGTTTCCACATAGTCATCTACTGGCACAGAGTAACCATCAGGCTTAAACTGCCCTGCTGTTCCTCCAGCAGAACCTGCAAAATCAAATACAGAAATTAAATTTCATCTTCAGCATGAGCAGAAGAAAGAAACATACCAACACCATGAAGACAGCAGAATTCTATTCTGTGATCATACAACTTGACAATATGATCATGAATTATTTGTGCAGTCAAAAACATACTGCGATCCAGTAAGGTACTGAGTGAAAGTTCACCTGCTTGTTCAAGTCCTGTATTTGTCACTCTTGGAATGGTGTATATGATTCACTCTAAATGCTTCATAAGAAAGAGAACTTATAGACAGTACAGTTTAAGATTCACTTCTAAATACCTATGATGACTTACTGGAATGTCATGTGTATCAAAGCTTGTCAAAAAGTGGTGGATCATGAGTTCTCTGTTTGCAACAAGAAGAAACAATCATAGAGGAAAGTGCTAACTTAAGGAAAAGTTAAAGACAATGATGTGAGATCTGTCCTGGCAAATCATTAAGACACGTGGCACAAAAAACCGGAGTTTCACTGAGATCTGTGTTCATGGATGCAAGCCTAATTAAATATCTAACCCACTAACTCTGCGCAGCTGAGTCCTTCTTGAGAAACCACTGATTGCTAAGCTACTCAACAATTTCACAACATTTCATGGAACCTGAAGTTTCATTATGTGTTCACAAGCACCCTCTACTGGTCCCTACCCTGATCCAGATCAATACAATCCATACCACCCACCCCATTTCTCTAATATCCATTTCAATATTATCCTCCCACCTATGTCCAGGTCTTCCTGGTGGTCTCCTTCCTTCCATCTTTCCTACGCCCTTTTCCTGCATGCATGCCACGTGTGGTGCCAATCCTGTCCTCCTTGACTTCATCATTCTACTTATATTTGGCAAACAGTACAACTTATGAAGCTCCTCATCTTGCAGTTTTCTCAAAGCTCCTACCATTTCATCCCTCTTTGGTGCAAATACTTTCCTCAGTATCCTGTTCTAATTCAATATCTTCCACATAAAATAATGTGTGCATGGGCTTAAGCAACCAGACTATACAGCAGGAATTTTATCTTAAAACCGGTTGCTGTAAAATGTGCAGAACACAGTTTTGTATTTACAATTGCTATCCACAATTGATGAGGCATGGTTTTGCTGTAGACAGCCAACACTACTGACTCGGAAAGATGGATGAGGCATAAATAATTTAGTTATTTTGATAATCCAAATTCTAGTTTTGAAAAATTTTGCAAAATATTAAATTAATGATGAGACTTCTACAGAACTGCAGTCCTTCCAACAGATAAGAATCATTTAATACAGGAATGTGATATTACAAGTAACTGAAAGATATGACAATCACAAAAAAAGATTCATCACCATCCTAATATAAAAGAACAGAGAACCAAATGCCTGACAAAAAGAATCTAGAAACATAACTTGTAAGGATATTCAAAATTTTATAAGACAAGGATAGTGTCTATGTTTTTAAAGGACTTGGAAATATGAATAAAGAAAATAATGACTGAAAACGCCAAATTACATTTTCTGTCATCAGTAGGAGTTGCAACCTGAGGTGAAGACATTCTCTACATTTATGAGATGACATTACACAGTACTGAATGATAAGATTGGTGAATAATGAATAGGAAAAAGTGTAGAAGGAAGTTGTTGTGGCTTACTGAAGATAAAACAATCAAATTACAGATTAAAACAATAATGTTACCCACAGGATTTCAGACAATGGAGATAGATGATATGAGCATGCTGACAAAATGGAAGAAAACTGCATCTGAAGGTCTGTCAGTGCTGACTGTGAAAACGCAGTTTTCTGGGATGTAACCCTGTGTCCTTGGGAGACAGCCCAACATTTGAGAGGAACATACTGCTTCCATTTTCAGGGTTACACGGTAAGCCAAGCAGGACACCAGCTCTGCAAGCTGAGATTGCTGCCTACTTCTGATGGTTTCTTGCCTGGTTTGCTCTTCAACCCTGAAGATGGAGGCAGTATATTCCTCTGAAATTTCAAGCTCTCGCCAAACGACACAGTTTTACAACCCAGAATATCACAATTATCATACCTTGGTTTTGAATTATGATGCGTGAGCAGAACAGAATTTCGGAAAACACGAGATGGTCTGAGCAAACGAGACTTGTGACAATGGAACGGGTACCTTAAAGCTGATAATGATGGTGACTGAAACATCTGCATAAAATATTCAGTTTTTCTACATCACAGAGCAGTGTGGGACTATTAAGTTACTGCTATGTCAACATTACACAGAACAAGCACTTGGAGAGCAGCAAAAAGAAATATACGGGTTCAGGTTCCCTTTGGAAACATATTAAACACATTTCAAATCCACTAAATAAATAAAAGAAACTCAAACATGGTTAATAATCCTCCTCCAAGAAAAAATCAAATGAAAATTAATATTCATATGGAGGATGCAGGGGTAAAGTAAGTAAAAGTAAAGCTATTCCTGTACCAGGCTGTGAAGGCCCATAGGGTTGTGAGATTTTGAGGGTCCCACATTATCTAGGCAATCGGCTGAAAGATGGCGATAAGGTTGTCAGCCTTACACGCCGGCTGCACTTTACTCCCCAGGAAAATTATTTAATTAATTCCTGCTACTCATTTCTGTTAGAGGCTGACCCCAGGGCCATAGTGCGGCTGGAAGGATTAGGTCAATCGAAAAAAATCCAATGACCTCATCAGGACTTGAATCTGCGACCTTTCGGCTTGTAGCATAGCCCCTCAACCAACTACAGTACCGCGTGCCCCCTGGAGGATGATGGGGTATAGTCCTAAAAATATATTACCAGAGCAGACCAGCATGCAGCTCAGGTTGAAAGAGGTGGAAATCGTGATATAACACCACCATCACTGTTAATTAACAACAGCTTTAAACTTCTACATGCAGAAATGGATGATAAATGGATCATGAAATGCTTCAGAAAGCTGACACTTAAATGTTGGAGGTCAGAAATTGATGAAGCTATGAGAAGTTTATGTTTCAAGTCTTTAAATGAAGTGCTAGACAGGGTCCCAGCACTCAGAAAAGCACAAGAGCTAAAGTACAGCCCTGGGTTGATGTAACATAACATAAACTAATGGCAGTCATAAAATATAGTAGTATTTTAACCAGAATAAAAACTTGGCTTCCAAATCACTAATTTTTGTATTTGATTACATTACTTTATTCCATATTTTATTTGTATGATTAATGATAAGAATTCAAAATGTGGGGAAAGGAAATTGCATGTTGTGCCTAAAATTACACATTACTCTTCAGGTAAGGACCACATAACTTTAAATAGGTCACATTGAAAGTAATGCTCTCCTCCAAGAGTTCTACTTTGTGGGACACAATGCTGTGTAGTCCACTGAAAGTCAACTGCTGTTTTGGAGGAACATGTCAGCTTCAAGAATGAGCCAAGCATGAACTCAACATGCATGAAGCAGTTACCAAGCTGCTGTTTCTTGCTTGGCTTATTCTTCGACCCTGATGATGGAGGTGACATTTCTCCTAAGAATCGGTTGGCTTTCAATGGACTATGTGGCATTATGTCCCAGAAGACAGAACTCTTCATAACCACTGTTGTGAGAACCTCAAATCCTATAACAGTATCTTATTCCTAAGCGCTATTCCATGACAGCTTACTGGGCACATTAAGGAAAGTATTTTAAATGTCAACACTGAAAGATGGAAAGGTAGCCAACTTTGTGTTCCAGCTGCTTTACTTTCCAGATACCCCTGGCCAGGATGTTGTGTCTCACAACCTATGTGAACATGGTGGTGAAGAGAATTTCTCCCCTTTCTTCGAATCATCCAGTCTATAGCCAGTCACTTCACCTTCACACATATATAGATCCTTTTAAACAGACCACACTCACTTTAAACCCTTACTGATTTATGTGTTCACCTTGAAACATGCTGTTAAAACGGTATATCATTTGATTCTGTATCCAGTATTTCAAATGCCACCTTGTCAGTCATGAACACTACTGAAGACCAACCAAAACACTTGGGCAACTGTTTTCATTTGACGAAAGGTGTTTTACCTTGGGGTGCGTGGAGATGTGTTGATGAATTTGAATCAACGTCACTCGGAACGAGTACTTGGGATCTCAAAGCAACTACTGGATCAATGCTAGGTTTAACGGACTTTTGTTCATCAGCACACACTTCCTTCCTGATTCTTCTCTTTAAATTTTCGTAGCACATTTTCAATTGTCGGGATGTTCTTACCGGTTCAGCTAGAACCATTTCGTTAAATTCGTGGGCTATACCTTCCCACACCTTTTCTCTTTCCTGAACGCTGATTTTATCTGTTTTCTTGCATTCAATTATGTCCTGATATTTTTCTATTATATGTATTAGAATGTTTTTTTCCTGCGATGAAAAATTGCTGCACCTCAGTCTTTTCTTTCCATCTACATCATTTCCTGAAGAATATGAGATATGATGATTATCTTCCATCTCTAACTTACATGCCATTTTGGTTTGTAAACAAACCTTACGTGATGCTCAGTTCCTTCTGCGAAGATATTCCATTGATAACAGCTGACAATCACCCTACGATTCTTTCGCACACATCGACACTGACACTTTTGCCATTAGAGTACCAACCTCGGAAATATAAATTGGTGTACGTGTACTTTAATTTTAGGGGTCACACTAAATTACAAACACTTAATTCAGTAGGAAAAATAATTCGAGGCTGCATTTTTGATTAATTTATGAACAATTTTTTAAATGTCCAAATGACATTTTAAATCTTTTCTTTTCTGCTGGAGAGCCTCAATCGTTTTACTCAAATCATGGAAGCCCCACAGGTAACCTGAAACAAGTGCTTTTAGAAAGTAAAAAGCAAAGTTTTGCCTGTGATTGGTTAATCACTCACCACGCCATGTCAGACATTGTTACCTCGTCACTAAAATTCTTATAGTGGGCCGTAGTGGGCTATGACAGTTTTAAAAGCATATGCTCTTACCAAGATCGTGCTGCAGCTTATCTCTGCGTAAATTGTTCGCGGAAGTTATCGGCAGCGATTGGCAATTGGCAGCGACCGGCAGTTATCAGGTGTGATGCTCGTAGCGCTCGAAGCACACTGTGTAGCTGTGTAGGTATGGGAAGGGAATAGAGAAGATAGGGAAGATAGGGAACATAGGGAATGTGTAGTGTTGTGTAGGTTAGATGGGTTCGTTTTGCCGCAGTGTGCTGAACGGTGCTGAATGTGGTGTTAAAATGCTTGGTTGACGAGATGATTGCAGGACAGTATCTCTGACGTCTCTGACGACCTGTGATTCCAGTTGTCCGGAGCAATTTGGAGGGTAGGTGAAGGAGCTGAAGAGATCGAGATTGGAATTCAGTGAAAGGGTAAAATGTCATGTGGTGAATCTCTTGACTGTCGTGGTGTGCAGAGTTTTGAACCCACATTTGATTCATGGTTATTATCACAAAGATTTGGCCGGTCAAGGTAGCCGAGCGGTCTAAGGTATGCACTGTCTTCGCTCGCCCGGAAGCCGGGATCGTGGGTTCGAATCCCACTCAGGGCATGGATGTTTGTGTGCGTTTTTCTGTGTTTGTCTACAGGTAGAGGCCTTGCGACGAGCTGATCACTCGCCCAAGGAGTCCTACCGTATGTGTAAGATCTAGTAAACCGAAGTGAAACGGAGAGTTTCATGGAGGTAGGCCTAGGCCCAAATTGGGGCTGTAGCGCCACAGAAAAAAAAAATGATAAAGATTTGTGCTTAATAAATACTTGAACTGGTTGCCCAATTTGACGAAACGTAATTGTGATAACAGGCACAGGACCCGGAATAAACCAGTTGATAAAGCAGCCGGCTGTGAGTTGGGTGGTATACGAGTTCGGGTTCAATCCCCGACAGTTGCGAGATTTTTTTATTTAACCCAAAAGCTTTTAAATCGCCCAAGGTGACCTTGAAGCCAGCAGCCCAAAGGGTACCGGCGCTTATTCAGGAGTGAAGTGTCCAGAGGGTCCAGAGTGTGAAGCCGACAGGTCACCTCCATCTACAGCTCTACAGGGAGGATTTTTACTTACTTGACTGGTTCCACGGATGGGTAGACTGCTGACTGCAAGGCTAGAGGGCATATAGCATGCATAGGGAGTAGAGAAATGTATGCAGTATTTTGTTTAGAAAGCCAGAAGGAAAGAGGCCATTATGAAACCCTAGGTATAAGTGTGAGGATAATATTAAAATTGGTGAGATGGTGTGGACTAGATTGGTCTGGCTTGGGGTAGAAACCATTAGAGCGCTCTTGTGGACAAGGTAATGAACCTTCAGGTTCCATAAAATGTTGGGAAATTCATGAGTAGCTGATTGACTGGCTGCTTCACAACAAGGACTGGGCTCCATGGAGTTAGTTATGTGAGAAATTCAAAGCAATGAATTATCATTCTCTTTGTATACTGTGTAAGAAGCATTCTCATGCATGTCCGCTCTCTCTCTCTCTCTCTCTCTGACTGTTTTGCTTTTGGATTACATCAGCATTTTTGAAGGCCTAATGGGATCCATGGACGAAAGAGCTTGGGGAACACTTCTGAAATTAATTTTTATGTATTGTACACAGCTCATGTAAAATAGAACAGCAGTAGTGATAACACTTTGTTTTCGTGGCAGCATTTTCATGAGAAAATATAAGTTGTCCGATATCATCGACCATTGTGCAATTGTCGCTGTGTTGTGTGCTAGTTATACCTTACAAGTAAGTTTTCATTGCATTGCTCTTTCTACTGTATGATGTTAAAGTATACAGGGAACATTTGATATTAACTCTGGAACTAAAGCCTTCATGACAAGCTAACAGTTGCTCAGCTTCTCAAAAAATTTCCAACATTTTATGGAACCTGAAGATTCATTACTGTGTCCACAGCAGCCTGCCACGAGTTATTGTGGGGGCTATAAGAATTCAGTCCACATCTTCCGAGCTTGTCTCTTTAACATTCATTTTAACATTATTCTTCCATCTGTTCCTAGTGATCTCAGATTTTCCTAGAATAAGTGTGTGTGCATATCTGTGCCATGTGTGCTACATGCCCTTCCCATCTCACCCTCTTTGATTTAATCATAATAACATTTCGTGAGGAGTAAAGATCATGAAGCTCCTAATTATGCAATTGTATCCAGCCTGCAGTTACTGCTTCTGTCTTACGTTTAAGTTGGCTGTTTAATCATGCTCTCAGTGCCAAGGCTGTATTGTAGCAATGATAGGATGGTTAGTGAATATGGATCATTCAGTGGGACATGAATTAGCAGGAGAAAGTGAAGAGAAAACCTGCCCCATTCACCACTTTGTCCACCACAAATCTTGCATGACCTGACCTGACCTGGGACTGAACCCCTGATCACCTGGTCTGTGGCCTGGTCTAGCCTGCCTTTTTGGTTAAAGTTTGTAACTGGTGTGAATCCCCCCCCCCAATTCTTTTGTTTGGGATGGGAGGTTGGAACCGGACATGTGCCTCCCAACTAACCAGTAATATCACAGGTTCATCCTAGATCTGAATTTGTTTTGACATACTTGTGTAGCAATGATTGAAGTTATAACATCAGGCATGTCGCAGTAACTGCAGGAATGATGCATTACCTTGATGCATACTGCAGTGAGAGGAAGTTGCCATCATAAATTTTGGTTACATTGTTTGCTTTAGCATGTGAAGCAGATGATTGAGTTTAACATTTGTAAAGAACATGTGTTGTATTGAAAACTTCAGAGAATATGCAATATGCAGAATATGCAATTAGGAAGGTCCAGGGAAACCAGGTGGGACTGAAAGTAAACGGGACACATCAGCTGTTGGTCTATGCCGATGATGTGAATCTTCTGGGTGATAATATAGATACCATAAAGAAAAACACACAAACTTTAATTGACGCAAGTAAGGAGGTTGGTCTAGAAGTAAACACAGAGAAAACTAAGTACATGTTGCTGTCCTGTCACTAAATTGCAGCGCAAAATAATGACATAAAGATAGAAAACAGATGTTTTGAAAATGTGACACAGTTCAGATATTTGGGAACGATGATAAATCAAAACCTGATTGAGGAGGAAATTAAGAGGAGATTGAACTCAGGTAATGCTTGCTGCCATTCAGTCCAGAACCTTTTGTCTTCTCATCTGCTGTCCAAAAACGTAAAAATTAGAATATACAAAACTATAATTTTGCCTGTGGTTCTGTATGGATGTGAAACTTGGTCTCTGACATTAAGGGAGGAACACAAACTGCAGGTGTTTGAGAACAGGGTGCTGAGGAGAATATTTGGACCAAAGAGAGACGAAGTGACAGGAGGTTGGAGAAAACTGCATAATGAGGAGCTTCATAACTTGTACTCTTCTCCAAGTATAATTAGAATGATCAAGTCAAGGAGAATGAGGTGGACAGGGCATGTACCACGAATGGGGGACATGAGGAATGATTGTAGGGTATTGGTGGGAATGCCAGAAGGAAAGAGACCCCTGAGAAGACCAAGGTGTAGGTGGGTGGACAATATTGAAATGAATCTTAGAGAGATGGGATGGATTGGATTGATCTGGCTTGTGATAGGGAGTAGTCGAGGGCTCTTGTAAACACTGTAATAAACCATCGGGTTCCATAAAATGCTGGGAAATTCTTGAGTAGCTGCATATTTGGCTTGTCCTCAAGGAGGGCACAGCCCCATAAGTAAGTAAGTACTTCTCCATTGCTTGGATTTTGCTTTTGTTCATCTTCGTAATGGTCTATATTTTTGGCGTAGTCTGTTAGCATTGGTTCAAAGTGCAGTTTTATTTGTGATACATTTAACAAAGAAACTGGTGGCTGTGAATGCTATTAATGTAAGGTCAGTTACAGCAACAGAATTGAAATTTCATTTCACTGACAACTGGAGTAGTATCATGCCTTTGAATGTTCAGATGGCTGTGGAAGGTATTAATGATATTGGGAATGCAAGGAAGGTATTTTAGTAAGCTGTAACCCATTTGAACATTAATCATTAACCTTGCTCATGACTTGTCCATTGCTCTCAACTTACTGACTTTCTTGTTTAGCCCTTTGATGACTTGAGTGTGGGTGCAGTGTATGAGTTTTGAACTAGAAGCAGTGTATTTATGTTTTACAAATATATTTTAATACAATAATTTATAGTCATGGAAAGTGTCTGGCTCTGAGCCATACAGACATCAATTAAACTGAATAATTAGAGACACATTTGAAAGGAGTTTAATTCAAAGTACACCTAACTCGTCCACTCGAGGAGGACCAAGTTCAATCTGGGAAGCGAACAAAATGTGGAAAGTTTTCCCTGAGCGCTTCTGTTTTTCTGTGACATGCAGTAGCGTAGTTGCTTGAGGCAATATGTTGCAAGCAGGAAGGTCATGGGCTTGAATCCTGATGAGGTTATTGGATTTTTCATTTGATGTAATCCTTCCAGCCTCACTATGGCTCTGGGGTCAACTCAGAATATAACAGAAATGAGTACCAGGAGGCTTCCTGGGGGTAAAGGGCAGCCAGTACACAAAACTGACAACCTCATCATCATCTGTGAGTTGATTGTATAGAAAATGTGGGAGCCTTGACATCTCACAGCCTGTGGGCCTCCACAACCTTTCACAGGAATAGATTTACCTTTATTTCAGCTTCTCCTTATCAGTTACCGTACAACCAGTGCTCCTCTCTTCTATCTATAATTTGAGGCTCGCACATAGGCCCATTTTCAGCCATCCCTCCCCAAAAATAAGAAGTAACTTGAAGAGTGCTGTCTTCTGGGATATAATGCCATGTAGTCTTTTGAAAGTCAACAGACTTTTCATAGGAACGTATCACCTGCATCTTCAGGGTCAAGGAATAAGCTGAGCAAGAAATGGACATGAAACCCATGCTGAGCACAGCCTGCTTATTCTTCAACCCTGAAGATGGAGGCTTTATGTTCCCCCAAAGCACCACTGTGAGAACCTCAAATCCTACGAAAAATAACTTGTCCTCTACTGTTTCTCATGATGCCACAGTAACATTGGACTCAATGTATTCATTTGTTTCCTATATCAAAAGTGCTTCTGCTGACATCATTGTTTGGTGTGCACTTAAGAACACAAGCACACATACCATCTTCTTGAGGTTATTGAGTAATTTCTGGGTCACTAAAACTTACTGCACTTCTTGAAGTTCTGGATGTACTGAAATATGTCATTTGTTCAGTCATACTATTTGTGTGTTACTTTGTCATGAAGTACTCCTCGTCTCATTTCCAGAACTGCTAAAATCCAGCACTTCCATCAAGAGAAGATAAGTTGATGCTTGTTTCTTACTGTGACCTAAATTGTCCACCAATCTTACTTCTCAGCCCTAAGGTTGAATATTTTATCATTTGTTGTAAAAGTAAAGATGTTTTTGTTCTTTTCTTGTGTGGCCCATACTGATGATACTTCAATTTTAGGTATGAGATTTCTAAAGCAGTGAAATTCATATTGTAGTTTTATGGGTTTTTGGACACTTTGTGGGTTGGTACTGACATTTCAGATGCATCTTTAGAGAGTAGAAATGAAAATGGAGGCGTTATGTTCCTCCATAAGCTACAAGAATACATGGCATCATAACCCAGAAAGCCGCATGTGAACCCTGATGATTTGGTTGTGACATGGTACTGGGAACCAACTGAAGCAGTTTATACGCATTGTAACAAGAAGTTAAGGATACTTTTTTTATTGTGTAAGAAGTATTGCTTTCATTATAACATATTGTGTTTGAAGCAACTTGGATGTCTTCTTAAGAAGATAAATATGCAAGTGAATTCTTTCAGTAACTCATTGAGGTAAGTATATACAAATTGTTGTTTCTCTGTGCTATGATTGAGATCATGATGTAATGTCAGATTTATGTGAAGTAAAAGGCTTTTTATTATGGCGAGTAATCTTATTTCAGATATTTATGTTTGATATGTGACTGATGGAAACTAGAGATCCATGGAGGTGTGTGGAGTGTAAGTTAGGCTCTTAATGTGAAATAGATTGAAAACAAAATTGGTAGGTAACATTAAAATTATTTGTCTCTTGCATGTCTGTAAGAAGATATGAGCTTGCAGATGAGCTCATGGTTTACACTGTGAGAGCACTTGAGGTTGGTACAGTTTGTCTTTGGACACAAATTGCTCTGGTTGTCTGTTAAGCTTTGCATGTGGGCACAAGCTGCTACAGTCTTCCCTACAAATTTGTGTGCAGGTACAAGTTACTGCAGTCTTCTGTTGAAGTTTGTGAGTGGGTGCAGTCTTATGTTAATATGTGTGTGTATGTGTGTAGTGTGTGCACGCACAGGTTACTGTTGTCTGTTGAAATCTGACCACAGGCGCAAATTGCTGCACTCTTATGTTAAAATTTATTGTGAGCAGAGATTACTGATACTGATGTGTTTAAAATTTGGGAGTGAGAACAAGTTAACTATGTATGAAATGAATTGTTTATTTCTAATCAGCTGTTATGGATAATATGGGTTCATATATGGGGTAAATGCAACTGATAAGGGTTGTTTTTATGTAGATTTTACCAGAAGTATAATAATGTCTCTATGCTATGGATCCTCTTAGTTCTGTTTCAAGCTGATTATCAAAATATGATGTCTTAAGTAGAAACAAAATATTAACTAAAACACATTGTGTGTATGCAGGATTATTTCATTTTATGCTACAGAGGAACCATATTTATTCTTATTCCTGCACTTTTATTCAGCCATTTATATTACTGTTATGACCTAATTAGCATGAAATTTGTTGCAATTTCTGCAAGCAGCTGTTAAAACAAACTTCAATAAAAATGCCTAACCCCAATGACATGAAGAGTTCTAAAAAGGTTGCTACATTTATTCTGAGATACTGTAAACTTGATACAGTAATAATATGCTGCAGCTATCTAGATGAAATATTTCAACAGAGCTTGTATATAAAAACCAGACTTCATCAGAAATAGGTAATCTCTTCTTTTATTCAACTAGCTGCAGAGCAACACAATGGCTACGGTCTATTTTAGACTAAAAAAACAGAGATACATTTCTTTCAGTTACAACTTGACAATCTGTGATAGCTAGTGGTTGAGTAATATGGCCTTCAGATACGTAATAAATGCTGACACACACATTTTTTTTTTATGAATTACAGTGTTCCTGTGAAAATGATGTCATCATCAAAACAGCAGCATGAAACTGAACAGGCTGGCCAGTAATGCTCTTGACTTCTGTTCACCAGATACTTAGTTCAAATCTTGGCCAGCACACAGGTTATCTCAACTGAGATTTTTTGTGGTTTTTGTCCAGGCAAATATTAGTATAGTACCTTGATTAGGTCATGGTTGCTTCCTTTCATATCCTTTGCAGTTCATCAGTTATCCCATGCTGTATAGTTTGGCAGTGTTATTACATAACCAGCTTAAATTGCAGTATCATCATCCTATCATTCAGCGCTATATTGTTAAGTAAACTGCAGAATAAATTAAATTCTCCTCTTGACTTACCATTGACTGGTTTTGGTTCATAGATCAGTCACCCACAAAGGCAGCAGTGCGTGCAAGACAGACAACATATAGCTTACTATATATGTATAGTGTGCAGTCTTTGGCTTCCTCACCCTAAGATATGATTCAGTTGACAGTGCTCTAAAGCAGCACTTCGTAACTGGAGAAACTTTACTCAGAATACTTCCTTTGAATATGGCATTAAATTTAAACAGTTGTCCATTCCTGATCATATTGTGTTTCCCTCCTCATCTGTCCATTTTACATTATGTCTGCTATCTTCTGAAGCAACATTTTCGAACATTTTACTTCCACTGTCCTCTCATTTTTTGTGGCATTTGGATTATCAGCTTTTGCATTCACACTTCTGCCTTTCATTGTGTGTGCATGTTGCTCAGTGCATTTCTGCTTGTGGTATCTTATGACATTTGTTACCTGCAAGTTACACCATGCAGCAGATGGAATATGGGTTGCTAAGTGCTGCTTCAATATGATAAGGTAGTTGTCACTTGTATCTTATCTCCTTGGTGGGCCTACATGCTGAGTGACCTTGATATTTGATACTGGCATATAGTTTTATGTACTCACAGTAATATTCTTTCAAAACAGTAGACTGTGTTTGATAAGAGGATCGGTTGATGCCAGCTGCAGCTTCTGAGGTGACATCACAAGCTGAAGACTGTAGCTATGAATACAGACCACAGGGAAAAGCAGAACCCCCACCCCAGGGCAACTGCCAATCCATTCTCAATAATCACATTTGGGTAAGTTGATTTTTTATATTATATCTGTATAAAGCACTTGGATATGTTTCTGCTCCTAGCCAGTTGCGACAAGTTCCCTGGAGTGCCTGTAGGGGCACCAGTTATTGGCTTTGTTACAAGAGCTGCTTACAGGGGTTGCATGCAAAGCAAATAACTACAGAAAGCATATATGGGACTGTAACTCAGGAATGATGCTCACATCAGTGAGCGCTTCATACTCTTTCTGGATACACTGCTACATCTACCGTTCAGGCTCACTGCTCTATTGAAATGAGGCAAATAAGCCAGGAATGGACAACTCTGTATTTTAGATTCTGCAGACGTAGCATCAGAACAGCTTGAAAAACCAAGGAAACTACAGGCACATGGCCAAAGCAAGGAAACAATTTGTTGAAGTGCTGTCACAAGTTGACCCATTTGCTGAGACATATTAATGAACATATCAAATGAAATGAGGTGTATGGATAAAGGAATCAGATCTGTTTACAATTAATAAACTTTAAAGTCTGTTGGAATTGCATGTGTTATGCGAGGTCCACCTAGTGTACGGAATGTAGGCTGATCATAACACAGTGCCCATTTAATTCAAACATGTCAGTCTGAAAAATCACTACACTAAATTTCTAAATGGACAGCAGATTTGTTAAAATGCAAATCTGTTGCAATGAAAATAAGTTAAAATGTATAAGAATAGATATTGAATATTATTGGGTGACATTTTGATGAATTTAAGATGACATCATAAATTACTTTCCTTGGTTCATATTGAAGTGAGGCTTAGAATGTCATGATGCAATGTGTGTGCCTGCGTCCTTGTCTTTGCCTGCCTGCCCGTTTGTCCGTCGGTCCATCCCTTTGCTGACGGTTTCGGAACAAAATTTATATTTATGATTATGAATTCCACAATTCAGTTGGAGTTACACTTTGTTACACTTTGTCACCATGAACAGCACTAACATCATAGCTATTTTATGAATTATTGAGAATTTTATGGAACCTGAAGGTTCATTGTTGTGTTCACAACAGCACTCCAGTGGTCCTTATCCTGAGCCAGAAGACTAAGGTCAGTTAGTTTATTATCCTGGATTTTGTACACTTGTAGATCTTAATCTTTGACTGTCTCCTGTCTTCATCATAATTTTCCCTCAGTCGCCAACTTTATGAATTTACCCTGCCACATTTTGATTGCATGATGAATGTTTTATTTTTGGTTTGCACATTGCCAGACAACACTTTGAAATTCGCATAAGGAACGAGAGATGCCATGAGATATATTTTCTCTGTTATTAGAGGGGGGGGGGCATTCGCACAAGCATGAATGTGTGTGTGTGTGTTCACATGGTTTTCATAGTGTTCGCCTGTGGCTGGTAGGAGTCAGGTTGGAAATTAAAAAGATGGGAGAGTGTTAGAAATATAAAAATTTGTTACTAGTTTTTTTAATAGGAAAAATAGTACTAATAAGATACAATGTCACATTGGTTTTTATGGGTTATTTTATGGTTTCAGAATTCAGACAGTATAGTGCCGAAATTAACGGCTTCGGGATTCATTGCACTGACCACGTGACACCCTCTATCCGCTAAAGTTGTCACTAACTTTGCCAACAAGTGGCAGTTGCTCGGTTGGCATAGTTCGCTTGCAGACTCAAGACACACAGCTTTTTTTAATTATTTATTTATAGCACTGGAAAGCAGGAAGACTGATAAATTGGGAAGTGTTTGGAAGGAAGCATTTGTAGCCTAATCATGGCATTCATCTGGATTACCTGAGGAAAATCCATGAAAAACCTGTCATTATGGCCCATGTCCCAGCTGTGAGTCAGATTGGCACTTCTTACACCAACTCATGCAGTGATAGTGTGGTGAAATGTGTTGTATTATCATCAGAAAGCTTTGTTTTTAAACTGGTTACAGTAGACTGATAAAATTCTTTTTACAAAATTTCAAGAGTCAGTATAGCAACAAGCTACAGGCTAAATAGGCTGGGCTCGATTCCCAGCAGTGCAAGATTTTTCTCTTTGCAGTGTTCAGACTGGCGCTGGGGCCTGCCAAGCCTTCTGTCTAGTGGGTGCCAGGGGCTCTCTCCCTGGGGGTAAAGCAACAGGAGCATGAAGCTTACCACTCAGCTCCATCTGATGCTGAAATCAAGAAAGGTGGAGCTGTACCTCCACTCCCCCATGTGTCTTCATGGCATAATGCTTAACTAATTAAGCACAGGGACAGCTTTACCTTACATTTACCTTTACAAAATTTCTTGGTGCCTATCTATGTTCATGTTGCAGTTCGCTATATCAGTGAAGTATCATGCTTACCTTCCTGCACTTTTCACTTGAACACTGAACTGGTTCATAGAGCTGATAACATAAATTAGAAAAAGTACTCCCAGTACACAAGGGCCACACTGTTTCTTATGTGACACAGTATTGACACGCAAAGTCAATTTTCTTTTTGTTGAACTTATTCCCACCGCCATGGGATGTATTCTGGCAGTACTCAAAGCCACATGCAATTTGCTGTATGTTCACAGATGGACCCACAAGATATTCAGGGAAGGATTCAGGAAGGACTTGGAGATCGAAGATATGTACGGTACCCTAGAAGAAGATCATTCTGATTTTTTGGGGAACAAGTTGGAAAGGTAAGTCTGCACTGAAACAAGTTACATTACATGGTATCAGATCTTGTAGAGTATGTATGTGGGGAAGTCATAACATTTTAATTATCACCCAGAAGAAACAGAGACACAGGTGCAAGAAATTGTATGAGAGTTAGTCTTTCTCTACATCTGCCTCCTGCAAGGCCCCCAACGATGCATTAGCTGCTGGATACCTTGATCATAGAAGGTCTCATTTTGACTGTTTAGGAAATCCTCCACTGCAGAAAGGATGTCATCGTCTTGGAATCGCTTACCATGAAGTGGCTTCTTTAGCCATGGAGAGAGGAAGAAATCGCGCAGTGCCAGGTCTGGTGAAAATGGTGGATGGGGGAGAATTTCATATCCCAGACTGGCAGAAGGTGTCGTCGTAGCATGAGCAGCATGAGCTGGTGCATTGTCATGAAGAAGTCGCGCACCTTCTTCCAGCATTCCATGTTGCTTTTTCTTAATTTCCTCCTGTAATTTTCTCAGAAGGTTCCGGTAGCACTTGCCAGTAATGGTGATGCTCTTTTGCATGACATCAGTCATGATGACACCCCACCAATCGCAGAACATGCTCAACATCACCTTTCCTGACAACAGCTGAGATTTGGCCTTCTTTGGTGGCGGCAAGTCTGCATCTTTCCACTGCTTGCTCATTTCCATTGTTTCAGGATCATAATGATAGACCCAACATTCATCCATCATGGTTTTTTTTTTCTTGGCAATACAGCCCCAGTGGGCTTAGGCCTACCGCCATGAACTTCTCCGTTCACTTCGGTTTTTCTAAATCTTACACATTCAGTAGGACTCCTTGGGCAGGTGATCAGCTCATCACAAGGCTTCTACCTGTACACAAACACAGAAAAATGCACACACACAAACTAAACATCCATGCCCTGAGAGGGATTCGAACCCATGATCACGGTTTCCAAGCGAGTGAAGACAGTACATGCCTTAGACGGCTCGGCTACCATGACCGGCTCATCATGATTAGGTGGTCGAAAAATTCCACCTTTTCATCTTGACACAACTGCAAAAGTTTCTTTGCCTCATCCATGTGTTACTGTTTTTCAACTGATGTCAACAATCATGGCATCCAACATGCAGCAACCTTTGTCATGTGTCATTCGTCATGGATGATGCTGAAACCTGACCAATGGCTAAGAACAAAGGCTTCGATAGTTATGTACTATTTGATAGGATCAAAGCTTTCCACCTGTGCCACAATTCCCGGTTCCTCAGTGAGAGAGGGTCTTCCACTTCAGGGTTCATCTTCAAGGTTTTTCTGTCCACAATGAAACCGCCTCTTCCACTTGACCACTATGTCATGATTGTACACCTTCCTAATACACAGCGGTCATCTGGTCATGGATCTCCTTGGCAGACTTCGCTTGCAAATGCAGGAACCGTATCACAGCACAAGCCTCCACTTTTTCAACCAATGTCACCATTTTGCTTCTGCCCCTTCCGGGGCTCCCTCTGTCCACTTGGCGGTAGAAAATTTGACTGTTCAGCAAACTCAGGAAATGGGCTATCTCCTATCATCATCATCATCATCATCATCATCATCATCATCATCAGTAATCTGTCAGACGACAGGTCCACAGTCTCTTCCAAAACAATTCCTCCACTTATTGTGATCTAGAGCTTTCTCCTTCAAATGACAGTATCCTCCTGTCCCCAAGGTCATCCAGCATCTTCTTACGTCTTCTTCCTTGTCTTCTTGTCACTTCTATCCGCCCCTCTATCTTTCCTTCAATAACTTCTTTTAGAAGGCAGTTTTTGCGTAAAACATGACCGATCCAATTAGCCTTCCGTTTTCTTATTTCGTGTAGGATATTCCTTTGCTCACTGACTCTAATTAACACTTCTTCATTTCTCACATAATCAGTCCAACTGATCTTCTTCATCCTTCTCCAACACCACATTTCGAAACTTTTCAAATGTTTCTGATCTACTGCCCTAAGTGTCCATGTTTCAGCCCCATACAGAGCTATGCTCCAAATATAGCATTTCACTAGTTTCTTCCTCAAATTTAAGTCCAATTTGCTAGTAAAAAGATTCTTCTTCTTGCTAAATGCAGCTTTTGCTATGGCAATCCTGGATTTAATTTCACTAGTACACCTTCCATCATCTGTTAACAGGCTACCCAAACATTTAAAACATTTCACATTCTCCTATATAGAACAGTATTTTGGTATTATGATTTTCTCATGGTGATAATTAAAACATGACTTCCCATCATATGGTCTTATGGGTTGTAGCATCATGTAGTTTAGAGGGAGCGTGACATTTTATAGGAACATGTTGCCTCCATCTTCAGAACTGAAGAATAAGTGAAGCAGGAAAACAGCAGTTACAGGAGGTGAACTGAGCTTTTCTTTTTTAAATTGTCGTTTAATTAATTTATTTTCGTGCTTGACATTTCACACAGGGGTTGCCATTTGGTGCATCGGTGTGCTGTTGTCACACACTTAACAAATGTCTTGGTAGGAATAAAATACATTTGTTGGATCTGGGGTTCTCACAGCTCTCTTTGGTACTGCCAGACTGCAAAGCATTACAGTTAAGAAGATAGTACTTTTGAATAATATTCCTGATTGTAATGTTGAATGAATATGTGGGGAATTCGAGGGAGGCGTTGTGTGACCTGTATTTGTACATATAATTGTCTGTTTGTAGGATGTGGAATGAAGAGTTGGAGAGAACAAGTGACGTGAGTGAGAAGCCTAGTTTGTTCAAAGTGCTTGCCAAGTGTTTTGGTCCAAAAGCTGTTTTACTTGGTCTGATCGTGGCTACCATGGAAATTATTTTCCGGTGAGTTTATACACTAATTTTTGTAGCTGCGGTAAGAAGTATTAAATATGCACTTATCTTCAGTGATCATTTAGTGTCCAAGGTACAACAGGTATGGTTGCTGGGAGAAGGGGGAATTGAAACAAAGGAATAGGGTTGCCAATCAGTTGGCAAGAGCTGGATCTGGACTATTGTTCCCTCTAAGCTGTGCACGCATGGCTGTGCCGTGGCTGTTCACGCTTGTACACGAGTCTATCTCCCATGCATTTTAATTGGTTTAGTATAGAGTCAGTTTGAATGAATAAAAATAAAATTAAAAAATAAACTACAATTTTTGTTATTATTGGGAGCTTGTAAATTTAAGGTTATGTTGTGGACCTTTTTTGAAAATTGCTGCTTTCTCCCCTCGCTTGCTGAAGCCAAGGAACGTAGGTCTGAGCGTCAGTTAATAGGACCTGAAGCAGCATGCAGCATCTTCGAGAAGCTTGGAGGAACTGAATGCACACAGACTTCCAGGAATGTTGGTCAAAAATGTGAAGGTCTTCCTTTGCAGAAATTTCCATCTAAAGCATTAGGGAACTAGAGCCAGTTGAGGTATTTGACAGGACTGCTTACAGAGAGAGTGTCATGAAGCGAACTACTGCACTTGACTTGGAATGTGAGATGCGTAGACGGCTAATGTCCGAAAGCAGATATACAAGAAATCATGGACAGCTATGGTGCAGTGTCATGTAACACTCACTTGTTTAATCTAATCTAATCCAGAAGTGTTTCAAAATTGTGTCCTCCCCTTCAAATGACAAATGATAAAACATGTCTTGCTTGCAGAAACTTATTCACATTAACTAACTTCATACAGCTGAGACTTTCTGGAGAAGCTGTTAGTCATGCAGCTACTCAAGAACTTCCCAACACTTTATGAAACCCAAAGGTTTATGAACCATATTCATAAGAGCCCACCACTGGTCCATATCCTGAGCCAGATCAGTCCAGTCCATCACTCTAAGATCCATTTTAATAATATCCTTCTACCTACATCTAGGTCTTTGTAGTGATCTCCTTCCTTCCAGCTTTTCCACCAAAATCCTATATGCATTCCTTTTTTCCCCCATTCATGATATGTGCCTAGCCCATCTCATCCTTGAATTAATCATTCTAATTATACTGGGAGAAGAGTATGACTTCTGGAGCTCTTCATTATGCAGCTTTCTGCAGCCTCCCACCACAGAAACTTACTCACAGAGTTTAGACAAATGTCTGGTTGAAGAAGTTGCTGAGTTTCTAAGGTACTGAAAACAGGAATGCCTGAGGTCTTCAGCAGCCATGTCTGTGAAGAATACTGTCGTCTGGAAGGTGATGCCATGAAGTTTGGTAGAAGTTTATTGATGTTTAAGAGGAATATAGTGCCCTCTATCTTTAGGGCCACAGAGTAAGCCATTCTGCTTACTGCCTGCTTGCCCAGCTTATTCTTCAGCTGTCAAGAAGGGAGGCACAAGTTCCTCCAAAACATTAGTAAGCTACCAGACTATATGGCGTCACGTAACCCAAAGAAGGTACTCATTTTTAAAACAAGTTATTCAGACAGAATAAGGGTTTTCAGTGATACACTGTGGAAGCATTCATACAGTTCTTGTTACAGAATTGCCCTTTTTTATTTTTGTCATTTAACCCACTGTGGAGTTATGTATTTGTTGGTGTTTAATCTGTAAGGGAAGAAAGTAGAGATTTCAGCGCAATTTGTGTGTGGGCTGATAAACTAATAACAGTGGCACTATTTAATTTTGTCTCTTAAAAATTAAAGCTTCTAAAATTTGAAGACATTAATGTTTTCCATTGAAGCGAATTTTAAGTGCTCTCAAATAGTGTTACTTCCCGATTGGAGGATTAGTTTAGAGGTGGGAAATTTTGGACCAGAAATATTCACATATTTTACTTATAATTCCAGTATATTTTAAGGCTGGCTCCAACAAATGTTTATCACAGCCCAGAGCTATAACCAGTTTTTCCACTCCATACAGCATTCTCCTCCTATGTTACGAGTGTTATAACATCAGACCCCTGGTTGTGGGGTTAGAGGACAGTATGCTTTTTAATGGACTCATAATGCTGAAGTGACAGATGAAGAAAAAATGAGGCATGGCATTCTCTTCAAGAGTATTCTAAAAATGTGAGGTATTTTGCTGTAAGGAACAGAGTTAGAGATAATTTCTGGGGGTGGGGGGGGAACTGTACAGGGTAATGTGTGTGTGTCAGTGTATGCATGTATCCCCCCTCCCTTAGTATCCCAAATGCACTGAACGAGCATTATAAAATGTAACAGTGTATCACATTCTTTCAATACAGATACCAATATGCCCAAATTAAAATTGACCACCAATACTTGTTGCAATGGGGAACTCAAGATTCTCTGATCCTGGATGATAAAGGTTTGAAACAAGAAGTACATATATAATTTAAATGGAGAACTCTTGGAATGTAGCCAGATTGAGGCATGTGTACCCTGTTGACTGCTTTATGGTTAAGTGGGCCATAGGGAGAGGGAGAAGAGTGATAGTTTTTGTTTTCCTACAAACATGTGACTCTCCGTGCATTTTTGTTGCAGTGTTTGCAATGTGTACTTGCCACATTGAGTTTACTCATGGAGAGGATAATGCAAGGATATGGTGACAACACTTGGGCCATACTGTTCTTGGAAATATAATGTGGTGATGAGAGAAACATTTTTAGATATACTGAGAAATGGTGGTAAATTGGATTGGCTTAAACTGTCAAAGGTTAGGGCTTGGCAGTGGGGTTTTTTTGTTGTTGTCTGTATTGATCCATACTGTTCTAATATTGGAACATTTGTGTGTTTGTTACCAGAGACTTTATTTGTAGACTGATTGCTTAAATTTACTTTTCACCCAAAATGAACACAGCATTTCTTACATATAAATAGTTCCATAAGTTACAAAGACAAAACAACTCCATCCAGTGTGACCGAATAGTCACACTGGTTGGAGTTGTTTTGTCTTTGTAATTTGTTAGTGTGACGGACCAGAATGAAACAAATCAAGTTCCATAAATCCTGTAATAACAGACCGTAATGCTGGAGGTGAGACTGAACCAACTGCTGTTTAATAAACACTGTGATGTGGCTTAAAGACATGACACAAAACTTGGTATAGGACAGAAACCTTAGTCAGTTCTTTCCATCTCCAGTTCTCAAATCCTGTGTTTCTGTGATCATATCTTCATGTTATCCATACCAACTTTTCCAACAGGTTTCTCCAGCAATGTTCTTTCTGCTTTTCTTGTCTCCCCATACTAGCCACATGTCCAGCCCATCGTAGCCCAATGTATCTCACTGTCCTATCAGTATGGAGTTCCTCATTTAGGGACAGATATTTTTTTGAGCTTTTGTTTTGTAACCCATGCAACTTAACGTTGTTTTCTCAGAGTAAGGGGCTATGTTTTACAGCCATACAGAACAACTGGAATTTTTTTTTCTCAGTAGACAGGTTGACAACATTTTTTAAACTAAATAATAGCAAACATTTCCATAATTTATTCTTCTGTTAATCCCTCCATGAACGTAATTTTAATACATCAGTTTTGTGTGATATGTGAGGTTTTTGTAAACATGTCCTAACATAGAGCAGGGCTGACCAACTACCAGCAAGTGGACAGCATGAGTCCTGCCAGTTGGTTTTGTGCAGCCTGAAATAATATCTTTACATTATCCAAAATGCTAATTGAAACTGGTTACTCCTGATATTCAAAACCTACTTCACCTGTCTTATCCATTTAGTCTTGATTTCTATAACTGGTTTATGTCCCCATTGTGATACTGTAGTAACAACCTGTGCTTGACAACAGCACATGTGAAACAGTTTCTTTATGGTCTTAGCTGTGCTTTCTGATGATGGCCAGTAATGGCTGAAACATGTAAAAGCAAAACTTTTACTTATTCCTATTAAATTAGTTACACTTTATGGACTTATGCTACATATTTATGTATTAAGAGAAGTAACCATTCAGGATGCCTCTTTATAAGACGTTTCTTAATTCATATATGTGATGTCATAACCATTACATTTGTATTAATAATATCTTAACAGTATTGCATATGGTAGCACTAAATGGTACACATATATAGAGGCTCTTTTTCTCTAATTTTGTGGGACCAGTTCTTATACATGCATCTGTGATTCGTAGACCTGATCATTGCAAGTTAGATATTTGTATTGGTATGTTAAGAAAAAGTAATTTTTGTGATGTGGCCTGCAGGTAGGTATCAAAGATACAGTGCAGTCTCCCAGTGGTTTGAAGTTGGACTGCATTGACATTGAACATTTGGTGGTGAAGGGGTTTTAGACCTGTTTCTCACTGGAGTAGAGGCTGAGAAAGGTATGAAGCGATTGATATGTGATATTATGATGTGCAGGATGACGCAGCCCCTGTTTCTGGGAGCCCTGATTCGCTACTTCTCCCCTGGCAGTGACATAAGTTATAGCACTGCTTTCCTATATGCTGTATGCATATTTGTCTGCTCTTTCATCACTGTGCTGGTGAAGCAGGCATACTTGTTGGCTATGTTCCACATTGGCATGAAGATGCGTGTCGCTGTTTGTTCTCTGGTGTACAGGAAGGCAAGTATGGGCTTTTCTGCTGCTGAACTACTTCTTTAACCCTGCACTCAGGGCTATGCCATAGCCTGTGGTTAGTTGCCAGCTTCTCACCACTGTGGCCCAGTTTGAGCCCAGGTCAGGTCATGTAGGATTTGTGGTGGACAAAGTGGCACTGGTACAGGTTACTTCTGAGTATTTTAGTTTCTCCTGCCAATACCCATTTCACCAAATGCTCCATACTCTTGTATCATCCGAGGCTAGTGCAATGAGCCAGTTAGTGGCTGACATACCAGATGGACCCAGTCTCACCGCACCCCAATAAAAAGGAAAAACCTGCTCCCAGAAATTCCCCATATAGGAATCATGTCAAGGTGTGTAAAAGAACTGGTCTACTGACAGCATGCTTTCCCATTTCAGGCCCTGAGACTCAGCAAAACTGCTCTTGGAGAAACAAGCGTGGGTCAAGCTGTGAATCTGTTGTCTAATGATGTGAACCGGTTTAACATGTGCCTTGTGTTTTTTGTGTACGTGTGGATTGGTCCCATACATACACTTATCATGCTGTATTTGATGTGGTGTGAAATTGGTGTTGCTGCATTAACTGGAGTAGCAACCGTACTGCTGTTCATTCCAGTGCAGGGTGTGTGTTATTGTAAAGTCATTATTAATAAGATGGAATCTGCATCTTATGTAACTGAATCGCTGTAGATTATTTAATTCATGGCCCCTTATGGCACAGAGTCCCAGATTTACTTGGTCAAAGTCCCAAGAGATGTGACTGGTCACGGGTGATCACATGACTGTATGCATGGCACACCAGCAGTTGACCGTGAGCTGTGTAACAGAATGGGCATGTTCATGGAAATGAGAACAGTGTGACATGGTTAACAACCAGTGTTCCAAGTTCAGAATCCATCCCAGCTGGCTGCTGCTGCCATCGTCCATGAACCATGACATCACCATCAGTACATGGTGTTAATGTGAACGCTATGAGACCAGCAAACCACCATCAAGGAAAGTGTCTTAGCACATTCATGAGCAGTGTCATTGTGTTGCACAAAAATCCCTGTTTGGGGTATGCTGGCAGGCATTGGACCACCCTCATACAGGTCAGACCTGATACTTTGTGAATTCTGTGTGTTGTGCCCTGTCAAGGTACTGCCAGAGGGCTGTAGGTTTGGGTTGGACAAAGATGACAGGGCTGTGATGGTGCACTGATTCCAGTAGCAGCTTCTCTGTGGAAGGACTCCAGTGGCTGGTGGGCTGTATGCCTCAATGCCCCCTCCATTTCAACAGTCTTTAAACCCCCCCACACACACACACACACGTGATCAGTCTTCAGATGGTTTAATTTGAGCAAACTTTATAGCTTGCTGTAACTGAACATAACAGAGTTACCATACACACTTACATGGATTGTGATGTGTTCCTGTCAATGTGATTTGGCAAAATACCCTTTATTATTTACCCTTAAATGACATGTTTATATGAGTATCACAGTAACATCTGTGTTCTATGAGTCCGTGAGCTGTGCTGAATGAAATTGTCATGGAATTTACCCAGTTTACTTGCCACAAACACCAGGCTTTCCTTAATTTTCAGCCAATTTTCAGAGATATGTAGCAAAATATATAATTGCTATTTTCATAAGGTGGATTCAGTTAGGTTGATCAGTCAAGCGGCACTGTGCTCTGTATGGCTTTAATTGCTAAAACCTTCATCAGTTGTATTCTCTAAAATAACTTTTGGTTGACACAGAATATTTATTATATTATAATGACGTGAATCATAAACTAATATTCCAGTTTTTCTTGGCAAGAGAACATCAGTGTTGCGTTTACGGACAGCCAGGAGGACAGATGGACGTGTCAGGTTCATGAATGAGATCATTGTTGGTATTCATGTCATCAAGATGTATGCCTGGGAGAAGCCATTCACTCATCTTGTCTCTCTGGCTCGCAAGTATGTGCGTGATAATGAGAAGAGGAAATGCCATTTTGTAATATTGTTTGAAAGAGTAGATATTGTCACTTTTTTCCATAATTCCATTGTTTACAAAGCTCAATGCAGTATGTGTTTATGGTTTGTCACTGCTGTTGTTAGTGCATATTTATTGCCAGTGTTACAAAGTTCATGATTTTAGACACCTCTTATTGTATGTCTGTGTGACTGGTTGGTTGATAGACACAAATCCAAGAAATGGTCCATTCTCTTGTTATTCAAATTAACATACGCATGCTGTATGTTGCACTTTTGAATAAATAAGAACCCTTTGACATTCACGTCAAATCCATTCCTTTGATATTCTTTATGTAATTTCCCCAGAAAACACAGGATCAGACACAAAATGAAGAGCTTCACAAAGCTTAATGTCAAATGTAATGCAAGGATGTGGTCTGTATGCACCACTATAGATGCAGAAATGGGAAATGTTTGTTTACTAAGTTACTTAAGTAGACCAGATTTGAGTAGAAACCACAGGAGGTGAACATATGCAGGTTTCAGTGTATTTGGAAACAGATTTTGAAGTGATTAGCAAATAATGCAGCAGGAATACCATATGTGGGGTGTTGTGAAAGTAGGTACATATATTTTTTCAGTTTATTTGATAGTATTCATTTCTGTCAAATTCCTTTTGAAAGTTAAGTTCCTGTTATATTGAAACCATTTATACTAAGATTAATTTTTATAAGTGTATTCTGTTGTTGTGTTTTTGTGAATATACTAAAAATTTTTTTTAACTTTAATTGTTTCTTGCATCCTGTTGTGTATTTAATCAATATTAGAGTTAATTTTACCGACCACACAACATACCTTTACTACTATCACACTACATGTGAGCCATCACGACACGGACCGTAACAGATCCAGCAACATCAGAGGACGCGGAAGAACGGCGAGACCTCCAAAAAGTGAAAAGTTCAATCAATATAATAAAATTGAACTTTAATTCATGAACTTTTAACCAATAATATAATTAAGCTAGTTAAAGTGAACTTGACGCAGTGATGAGCGTAAGTAGGAAGTGACTGAATAACAAGTGAAAGTGAAAGCATAACTAGTGATCTGAATTGAAATTCAATTAACAAATTTTAAATTTTAACTTTTGACATTTAGAATAATATTTTAACTTGTGTTTTTATGAGAGGAACTTGATATATTATTGAGCGTGGGACTGAATAAGATACAGGATCGAATAAGTGAGAAGACGAATGTGATTGCGTGTAATTATACAGCTGTGTTCGTACACCTGAGGATGACCTCTTGAGGTCGAAACATGTTGTGTGATAGTAGTAAAGCTATGTTGTGTGGTCGGTAAAATTAACTCTAATATTGATACTAAATATTGTTTGGCACTGATAAACATGTGAGGTGTAGGTTCTGAAGAATACATTAATTGAATCAGTTACTTCCAGTTCATATATCACAAACAGTTCAACAGAATTCACTGATTCTTATTTATCTTTTGAATTCATGTTGTATATATGTTTGTAATTGAAAGAAATTATTTTGTTGCTTTCAGACTTGAAATTCAAGCTATTAGAGCAGCTGCATATACCCGTGGTTTCCTCCTGTCATTTGATTATTTTGCTACAAGATTTGCTGTGTTTGTCAGCATAGTAACATATTATCTTCTCGACAACAAGATAACAGCTGACAGGGTAAGCTCCTAGAATAGTAATGTAAATATGTTTGAGTTTGTGAAGAATTGTGCATGTGTTATTTTCAGGTCATTTAGTACAGCTAAACAGACTTCCCCTTCCTGATATCAAACTCTGGTTCCTCTGTCATCCAGCCTGTAACTTGTTGGTATGTTGACTGAGCTATCTCAGCTTAGAAAGCAAAGAGACTACTTGGAAGACTGAGCATGGATGGAAGGATAATAGTAAAACATGTCTGCAGGAAATAGGATGAGACACTGTGGACTCAATTGAACTGATTTTGAAAGGGCTCCTTATGAACACAGCCATGAGTGTTCACATGCTTCAGATGTGGAAAGCTGATGAGCTGAGCAGAGATCAGCTTCTTGGAGCTCAGTAGTGCATATGCAGCCTGTCGTTACAGTGTAGGTTTGTTTGATGGAGTTCACATTTTGAATGTGACACTGATGAATGCGGTTATTGTTTCAGGTGTTTGTGGTGACAGCTTATTTCAATATAGTGAAACATGTGATGACAGACTTCTTCCCAAGAGCAGTACTGACGCTTGCTGAGTGTTGGGTGTCCATCATGAGGTTGCAGGTTTGGTGCAGAATTGAGTATGGCAAACTCTTGTTAGTGAAAATCTCTCCTGGAAATTAACTGAATCAAATGATACAGTTTGTAAATCTTTATACCAAAGGTTTACTTAGGATTACACTGCTTTAAAATAAGTTCATCCTATGAGAACATAAAGGCTTTGTTGTTAAATGTTGAGATTGATTATAAAACATAAGGTAGGCATTTTTTGGCTTATAAAATGGAATTCTAATTTTCTATAGTGTGTCATGTGTCATGTAAGCCTTTTCTGATTTATACTGTCACAAATGTAGATGTCTCAATATATGGGCAGTTGTCCATTTTGTTACTGTAAAATAATATAGAACATCCAGATTTGTGCCTGTAATATTTCAGTGTGTCCGTGATATCTTATCCAAATTATATTATAACTGAGATAATGTCTATATTCTGTATAGTCACGTCAGGAAGTTACTACATCTGTTATCTTTTCCAAGGGTCCATATAATTGTTTTAATTTAACCAAATATGATCTTTGGCTTCCACTCCCATTATGGTCATCACCCAGAGCGGCTGTGTCAGCACAAAACTCACTCTGACTGTCAGATGTGACCACTTCATTAGCGTCACACTCCATAATGAGTTCATGTTCAGTATCTGTTTTAGTCCATGGAAAGTTTGTACTATTTGGCAAGAAGAAAAGTATATTCTGTTGAAAGTGCAGTGGAATCCTGATCTAATGTGCCTTGATATAAGAATTTCTCCCACTTAACATTCAGTTTCAATGATATAAATAAAATAATCACATTGTTAAACTTTCTCTCTGTAAGATTATCCCCGGTTTAGTGTTCACATCCACTGGTGGCATAGAAAAATCAGAAAGGGGTTCATTGTATTACAGAGGGGGAGAGTGCAGATGTCTGTAGAACACTATCTTCGTGATATAATGCTGTGCACAAACTACGGAGCATTATGTTCCAACTCTTCATAACCACTGCTGTGAGCACCTCAGATCCTGTGTGTGTGTGCATGCATAGAGGGGGCTAGATTGGATTGGATGCTTGTGCAGTTCCAGATGCTGCTGTTGGCTAGCTCATAAAGAAGAGCCATTTTAGCTTCACAGTATTGCAACATGCAGGCAGCTCAACATGCATGTGCACTTCCTTGTTGTATGCTGGGTAGCTGAAAGTTAATCACTTTTCCTTGGTACTGTGAAAAATATTTGTACACAGAGGTCTATATTTTTAATGTTGTTATACAAAAAAAATCTAATTAGTGTAATAGTGGAGCCTGGGTGCCGAATGGACACTTTCATTTGCAGAAGTTCCTGCTTTCTGATGAACTGATTACTGCATCTGAACCCTGTGTAGACAGTGAGACCATAGCCACGCTGGCTCATATTGACAGACCTCTAACTAGTGATGATGAGGGAATGGTGATGAATGGTGCCCTGGATCAGAAGACATCTTCAGCAGGAAGCAACATAAATGCGGATGTTGCTGCAAGCAAGAAGGGTATCAAGATTGCCAATGTGACAGCCAGGTGGAGTGAGGACTTGCCTGAGAACACTCTGACAGATGTGAGTCTGGATGTGAGACCCGGAGAACTTGTGGCTGTTGTTGGACCCGTCGGCTCAGGGAAGGTGAGCTGCAATTGTGTTGGAGGAAGGGGGATGGAATGAGCAGTGCTGGGGGCTTGGTACACAGGCTGATGTTATAAAGACTGTGTGCTACTGTTGCAGACATCACTGCTGCATGCCATCCTGAAGGAACTGCCCCTCAACAGTGGCTCCATCTCTGTGGGTGGATCAGTATCATATGCATCGCAGGAGCCCTGGCTGTTCACAGGCTCTGTACGGCAGAACATCCTGTTTGCGCAGCCCATGGACAGGAACCGGTACAGACAAGTGGTCAGAGTCTGTGCTCTTGAACGGGACTTCCAGCTGCTACCCCACGGTGACAGGACCATTGTGGGGGAGAGGGGTGTCACCCTGAGTGGTGGGCAGAGGGCAAGGATCAGTCTGGCAAGGTGAGTGTCCGTGCTCTTGAATGGGACATCCGGCTGCTACCCAACGGTGACAGGACCATTGTGGGGGAGAGGGGTGTCACCCTCAGTGGTGGGCAGAGGGCGAGGATCAGCCTGGCAAGGTGAGTGTCTGTGTTCGTGAATGGGACTTCTGGCAGCTACCCCATGGTGACAGGACCATTGTGGGGGAGAGGGGTGTCACCCTCAGTGATGGGCAGAGGGTGAGGATCAGCCTGGCAAGGTGAGTGTCTGTGCTTGTGAACGGGACTTCCAGCTGCTACCGCACAGTGACAGGACCATTGTGGGGGAGAGGGGTGTCACCCTGAGTGGTGGACAGAGGGCGAGGATCAGCCTGGCAAGGTGAGTGTCTGTGCTCGTGAACATGATTTCCAGCTGCTACCCCACAGTGAGAGGACGATTGTGGGGGAGAGGAGTGTCCCCCTGAGTGGTGGACAGAGGGCGAGGATCAGCCTGGCAAGGTGAGTGTCTGTGCTCGTGAACAGGACTTCCAGCTGCTACCGCACAGTGACAGGACCATTGTGGGGGAGAGGGGTGTCACCCTGAGTGGTGGACAGAAGGTGAGGATCAGCCTGGCAAGGTGAGGGTCCATGCTCTTGAATGGGACCTCCAGTTGCTGTTGCATGATGACAGGATATCTTGAAGCTCATAGTCTCAGTTACTGATAGCATTGTTAAGTGTACCACAGACTGGGGCTCTTCCACTGGTGGCACGTGTTCTAGATGGAGCCCACAAGTTTGTTTTATGCAGCTTGTGACAGTAACTTCCCATTCCACAATATGTGTTGATGCTTTCCTCTTCTTTAAAATACAAAGCATGTTCAAAGAACCTCATGAAAAGTCCTTACTGAATGTTCCTTACATCTTTTCAGGTGATTTCATGTTGCCTGTAATAAATAACTTTAAAGTGTGGGATTTTTATGATTCCATTGTCTTATGCAATATCATGCAGTCCAGCACATCTTCAGCAGCTCATTTTTGAGCACTTTCAATCTTGGAACATTTATTCACATAAATATTCGTGAACATTTTGGGACCAGTTTTTATTTGTGTACTTGTGCTTCATAGATCTGATCCTCACAGGCAGATGCTTGCATCAGCAGGGCTGGGCGTGTGTGGGAAATGAAATATTTTGTCACATATCTAAGTGACTAGACACAGGGTTTGGACTGGTAGATTTAGTGGACTCTTAGAACTTGTCACGGCAAGTAACTATAACAGTTTCACTAACTTATGCACTTTACAGTTTACTGTAGTGTGCACTGCCTGGTAACATCCTGCTGTGGCATATATTTCTCACCTTCCACATCCAACTGCTTCTGTCCTCTCTGGCTGGTAACTTATTACCATCTCAACAATTCTGGCTTTGACTGGACATGCCACAGTAGTAAAGGCCTGGCCAAAGTGTGATGTGGAAGCCCCATGCAGTCCTTTTGAACCACTAGTTTGGGTTGCAGAAAACATATTAGTATTATTTTTATGAATGGATTGAATATAGAAGCCTGCTGTGTGCAAGGTATGTACCTAAACATGTATGCCATTCCATGTCTCAGTTTTAAAACTCAAAATTGTAGAAGTATATTCTAAAGGGTTCAGATGATGTTGCTTAATATTTGGGATTACTGCGTTTTTGTGCTTTGTCTTCATATGGTGCTCTGAAGAATCTTTCTTTAGAATACTGGATGATGGACAGAGACCAAAAACTGAGTAATCCTGAATCAAAATTGTATGTTTAGAGAATGATTCTGGTCTTATGGGCAGCCACGAGGTTGCCATGTCCTCTCAGTGGTTTGAAGTTGCCGAGCTGTGAGGTAAGTAAATAAATAAATAAAATGATGAGAATTAGCTTTGTGAAGTGTGAACCAAAGAGAGTAGCTTCAGGCAGTGGCTTTTGCTACAATTTTAGTTATCATTTCCATGATTTATTTAATCCGTCTTGCAGTGCATACACTCATTTATCTCCTTCTCTCCCTCGCACTACATGTTTCGGCATAATAATGCCATCTTCAGGTGCTTACTTATCCACGTCAAACCAGTTCATTGCATGCCATGTTCACACATTAAAATAACTAAAATATGTATCTATCATATACATTGTCAAACGTTAAAAATATTAAAATTGTTCAGGATACCACATCGCTACGTCGCCCCTCACTACGTCAGTCACGCCCATTCTCCTTTGTTGGAGCACTCCTTCA